CCCCTCCGTTTTGGAGGAACGGGAGCGATTTTCCCATTTTGTTTCCCCCCGTTTTTATCGTATGCATGCACTCTTATTTGTGTTATAGTTTAGGGGGTGCGTGTTGCTTGCGTTTCTCTTTTTAAAAATACGCTTGTACGGATCTCAGAGAGGAAGGGAGGCGGGTAAAGAGAAAGAACATCAGTGATGAGAGAGAACCGTGCATCGGCTGCCTCCTGCACGCCCCGCGCTGGCGATCGGGCCCGCCACCCGGGCCTGTGCCCCGACCGGGAATCCAACCGCGACCTCCTGGTTCACGGGAACTCATCACCCGAGCGGGTTTGCATATTTTTCACATTTTACGAATTTCTGCAGCAGGAACCTAGGTCCGCGCACCTAGCGCGGCGGGGTCGTTGCATTCTTAAACCCTCTTGGTGGCTGCGCTCGGTGCCTCCAGGATATGAGTGAATGCGACAGGAACCGCAGGGGAGTCCAAAGGGCTGCGCCTCCCGGTGGCTCAGCCTTATTTCAGACCTGCGACATCTTGGAGGAGGAGGAGGGGAGGGAAATGGTGCCGCCCAGGCCGCTGCGGTCTTTGCATTTCGGAGGCGCGCTCCTCTGCAACAATAGACGAGCAGCAGATTGGTTGGGAATAGGGATATTTTTGAAACTTATCGAGGTTGCTCAGGCCGTTTGCTGAAGTGAGAATGGATGTTGACGTGATTGCAGCCCGGAAAGTACAAAGCAGCGATTGTCCTGTTTCGGGCAGTTCCTCTAAGCCTCTGCTAAGGCATCTCACGTGCTCAGTGGCCACGTGGGGCCGGTGCCAGCGGCAGGGGGGGCGGGGGGAGGGGGGCTGCGCTGATGTCACCCCCCCTAAACCAGGGCATCGGATTCCCACTCCAGCATTTTTAAAGGAGGGCAGAGATTCGGAGGTTATTTGTTTAATTTAAGGTTCGGTCGCCTAATGGAAAGAATGGTGGACGAAAAGCGGCCACATGGTGAACCTGACCAGCTCAAGGGAGGCCCGCGTGGTGGCCTTACAAACTCAGACCTAAACCAACCACAAAGGACGGTCGGAAATGAAAGCTTTTTAACAAAAAGCTGTTCACGGCCCTAGGGATAGAGCGTTGGCCTGCGGACTGAAGGGTCCAAGGTTCCATTCCGGTCAAGGGCACATGCCCGGGTTGCAGGCTCAGTCCCCAGTAGGGGGGTGCAGGAGGCAGCCAATCCATGGTTCTCTCTCATCGATGTTTCTAACTCTTTATACCTCTCCCTTCCTCTCTGAAAAAAATCAATAAAATATATAAGAAAATAAAAATAAAGCAACAACTTGTAATGTTTTTGTTTTCTCCAATATTCTTTCCACATTGTGAACACGAGTTATAGACTCTTCCTTTAAAAATTTAAAACCCTCCTTTTCAAGATTATTTTATTGAAAACATTGCTCCATTAGTAAAAAAAAAAAAATATCTAGCTGTCAGCATCAATTCTTAATTCACTTCAGTTTTCATTACACTTCATTCATGTATTACTTTGTCTTGATTTTCAATGCTTAGCACTAGTCTTTTTTCCCCAGAAATTTCCTATTCTTGAGTTTTTATATTGTCTCACCTTTCAGTGATCAGGAAGCTATCTCTGCAACTTTTGCAAAAAATATTCGTAGCTATTATATGTTCTGGAATCTTGCATATTTTAAGATATTCTTCTGTTGCTTTTACACATAAGCCAATAATTAAGTAGGCATAAAACTTGCAAAAATCAAACTTGTTTCTCATAAACTTATGTAGAAATTTACCTGTGGTCTTAAAAAAGTTCCTGTTCAATGTAAGAATATAAGGATAATCTAAAATATATATACATATATATCATCGATGTTTCTCTCTCTCTTTCTCCCTTCCTCTCTGAAATCAATAAAAATATATTTTTTTTAAAAAGCCATTCATGGCGATATTTCCCCCCGACAAAGGTCAGTCTCCACCATAGCCTGTCATCTCTTTGCATCCAGGATAACATACCTGACAAACAGGCCTTTGCAAGAACAAAGTCATCTCCCCATTTTCTCGCCCCTCAAAGCACAGGCACTGCTCTGCGGAGACCACAAATCCCCTTGTTTATTTCGTTAATTGTTGACTGTTAACTAACCTGTATTCACCTAAATAAAAGAAGTACAGGTGTCATTCATTTTATTTTTTATCCAATCCCAGAGGTTTCCCTCTTTGCTTTCACTCGCCTCCCTCATCTATCACCAGTGGATTTCATGTAACCCACTTATGTCTTCTCTTTTGATTGAAATGTAGAAAATAAGATGCAAAGCTGCTATTTTCTGGAGCATTTTCTCAATCCCTTGAGATTGTGCTTCCTGGCAGTTGTCAGGCTCAAGTAAACTCACGACAGTTCTCTACACTTTGAATGTTTCTTAGATTGACAGAATGTTATTTTGGATTCGATACAGTTTCCTGGCCAGGTTAGTCACGGGTTAGTGGGGTAATCTTGAGATTTCTGAATCTTCATTTTCTTAGTTTGTAAAGTCAGGTAATGTCACCTGCCTCTGGTTGGTTTTCAGAAGATGGAGAAAGATGTTTGAAATGTCCCCCCCATTCCTGACTCAGGGAAGCGCCATTAGTGCTGGCCCTGAGCGTAGCTATTGGCGCTGAGATCACTGTCCTGCAGCCTCAGGAGTCCCTGCAGAGCACAGCTGCGGGAAGCATGGAGTAGCCCTTTCTTCCTTTGGGAACCACAATCCTGTTGTCAAAAACCTTGAGAAAACTCATTTTTGGTGGAGGACATTGTAACTACTATCATTTTAATAAATCTGAATTGTTGGAAGTATTACATATGTCCCATTTTGTCCTCTCTATCATTTTAGACAGATGAAGAAATCTTTTGTGTGTTTTTTTTGTTTGTTTGTTTTTCAAAATTCCTTTTCCATTTAAGTGGCCAGGCTTGGATCATTAGCTTGGGCAACCGACTTAAGATTTTAGTTTCACTTTTGTAAAATGATATAATAAAGGTAGAGTTTAGTGCGGTCTCTGGCACATAGTAATTGATGAATGCTGAAGATTGTTTATGAATATAATTTACTTTATATTTCCTTTAGCAATGAAAACTTTACTTCACGCCCTGGGCTGTTCGGCTCAGTTGGTTGAGCGTCCAGGTTGCTGGTTGATTCCAGGTTAGGGCCCACAGGGCTGCAGGCTTGACCCCTAGTGGGGGGCGTGCGGGAGGCAGCCCATGGATGCTTCTCTCATCAATGTTTCTGTCTCTCCGTCTCCCTGCCTCTCTGTCTAAAATCAATAAAAACATTAAGAAAGTGTGGGTGTTTTTTTTTAAGGTTTAATTATCAGTAGTTTTGTGCTCTGATTAAAAGTACTTAATTGTGCCCTGGCCAGGTGGCTCGGTTGGAGCATCTTTTCAAGTAGAAAAGTTTGTTTTAACTTGTTAAGTTCACACAGTAGCCCTTGGGACTGACTTCTAGCAAATACTGAGTCAGAGTCTGATTTTGCTGATCTGTTTGCCAGTCTGTTACCATGTGTCATGTCCCTTTATCATAGTTACTATATGGAACTCTATCTGGAAATAAGTTAATGTAACAAATTGTCTTATGAAACTAAATCCAGAGGTTTAATCCTTTTTTAAAAAAAGATTGATGTTAGAGAAAGGAAGGGGGAGCGAGGGAAACATTGATTTGTTGCTCCACCCGTGCCTGTGCCCTGACTGGATATTGAACCCCAACCTTAGGAGTATTGGGATGACTCCTAACCAGCTGAGCTGCCCCGCCAGGGCCAGAACTTTTATCTTCTTGCTAAAATTCAAAGTAACTAAGCAATCTTTAAAGTTGCTAACTGTATTCAACATTCAGCAACAACACACTCTCCACCCCATAAGAACAACTATAAAATTGGATAGTAATGGACCTAAGTTTCAGCTTCTACTGGGTTTTGTTACCATTTTTGTCATTTTACACAAATTCTGGCTTAGCAAATTGTATTTCTCTGTTTACTCCACACACTTGCCATGTTCATTTCTGAGGTGCCTTCTGTTTTGATGGGAACGACTTCACTTCGGCGTTTAGAGCAGCGGTTCTCAACCTGTGGGTCGAGACCCCTTTGGCGGTCGAACGACCCTTTCACAGGGGTCGCCTAAGACCATCCTGCATATCAGATATTTACATGACGATTCATAACAGTAGCAACATGACAGTCATGAAGTAGCAACGAAAATAATTGTATGGTTGGGTCACAGCACGAGGAACTGTATTTAAAGGGCCAGAAGGTTGAGAACCACTGGTTTAGAGGCAGGAGAGGGATGGAGCCACATGCTCTGGACTCAGCTGCCTTCTGTGAGCCCCCATCCACCACTTCCTAGTGGTGACCTTGGTCGCTTTTCTCTGTAAAATGGGGATGACAATCGACATGTCTTAGTGCTACTGTGAGGGTTAAATAAGCTAAGAAATGCTGTTTAGGCAGCGTCATGGCACGCAGCGCCGAAAACTTACAGAGTGCTCACCTTCGCCCCCAAGCATCCGTGTCTTCGTGTCAGTTCTATCCTAAGTCTTCCACGTCTCCTCTAGTCTTGCCGTGATATTTAGGAATTCCTCATTTTCTGCCTAAAGAGGGCCAAGCAAAACCCTGAGCACAGTGAGGGTGGACTATGTCGCGTGTTCTTTCCCCACACTTAGTTGCCCAGTGATGAATACCCAGGAAAGGTAGTTTGTTAGAAAAACAGGGCATTCTTCAGATTAATGTGCAAGGTCCACTTTGACTTATATGTTCCTGTTGAAACGGCCAGAATTGTACAGGCCTTAGTGTGGTAGCCTTTGTTGTAGAGGGCTAGGGCTGGCAAGAGATACTGAGTGGTTAAGCTGGTTTGGAGGGTTAGAGAAGAAAAGAAGGCGCCCTGGCCATAGTAACCTGTTGGACAGTCAGCCATGCGTGGGACCTGGGTTTGTGGGGGGCGTGTGCTGGTTTAATCGTGGCTTTGTTTCTCGCAGTGGTCACATTGGGGGTGCCTTGTCTTTGGAGCGTTCAGGGGCTTGCTTGCCAGAGGCCACCCCAGGACTAAGTGTCGGAGCCTTGGCTTTCTTAGCTCTGTCTCCCGGTCAGTCCGGGTCCCTGGGGGTCGTAGTGACTTCAGGTGTCTTAGTGAGCACAGCTCCTTGGCTGTATCAGTCACAAGTGCTCTATGGCATGTTTTACACGAGGCACCGCTAACAAGTGCTCACTTCATCGCAGCTCTAACCAAGTGCTGTTCTTAGGTCTGTTTTACCTGGAAGAGTGAGGCCCAGGTGACTGCCCTGCCTGTGGCCCTGCTGTAGGGGAGGAGCGGACACACAGACCAGCCTGGGCTCCTCCTACACCAACACCGTCACACGGGTGGATCGTTAATTGGCGACTTAAATGCGATGAGTGTCCTGTTTGGTTTTAAGGGTTGACTCAGTGACGATTAAGGCTTATTTTTTAAATTTTAAATTCTCAAATGCTGGTTCTCTCCCCTCCCCACTTGAGACTGCCAGTCAGTGTTTACCATCCAGGAAACAGAATCTGTGGCTCTTCAGTAACGAAAGCCCCTGGCAGTGGTGGCCTCGCTCCTGCTCCTGTTCCATGTCGTTTGTGGGTGAGAGGGAGGGCTGGCTCTGCTTGTAATGACTCGGGAGACCGCGGATGGGCCATCTCCATCTCGGCAGGGGCTGGTCCTGGTGCCCAGGGGGCAGGAAGCTCCTGCCCAGAAGCGTCACGCTGTCCACAGCGCCTGGACCAGAACAGTTCCCAGGACCCTGACAGTCACAGGAGCCCCAGAAGCTGCAATGTTTTGGGAACAGGATGAGTGACCGCCACCGCATTTACGCTTCTTTGGGTTCTCATTTCATTAATGAAAATGTTTCCTTTCTTGTAGGAAGGAAGAAACAAAAGCTTGCCAAGGAGAGAGCTGGACTGTCCAAGGTAAGACGTCGATTGCCTGGTTCTTAGATTACACAGGGGTGGGCAAAAGTAGGTTTACAGTTGTGAGCACACAAAACACATTCTGTTCTCATCGTTTAGTAAGTAATTATTGTATTTTCTTACGAACAACTGTAAATTGCCCACCCCTATATTCTATACTTTATAGAAATAATTATTTAAAACTCCAGGTATATTGATAACAATTACATAAAAATCTATAATGGTGATAAAAAATTATAATGTGCATATTTTATGGTAGTGATATTTGCATTCCTTTTTTACTTCAGGTTTGACTCAGCTTTCTAAGAATTGTTCAAAAACCAATTTGGTCAATAAGTTGTTTTTGTGTGTGTGTTTTTACATTCATGTCACTGTAGATACTAAACTAATCTTTGCGAGTGCTATTGAGTAAATTTCCATTTTTGGTTTTATTTTTGGTTGCATGACTTTCTGTGTATAGGTCATGTCCCGGGGCGTAATTTTGTTATCAGTTAGTAAATATTCTCCTTCCAAACAGTTACCTGACCTGAAAGATGCCGAGGCTGTTCAGAAATTCTTCCTTGAAGAAATCCAGCTGGGGGAAGAGTTACTCGCTCAAGGTAAGAGTCGTAAAACACAAGGTTCAACCGATAAATGTGAAGATCTCCGTGGCTTTATTGAGCGATTTGTGAATGGGGCAGCATCCCCTCTGGCACCTACAAGGAAGGCACTCACTCCCTCCACAGGGTTGATCAAAATGGAAGATTTTTGTGGGAAGCAGGGAGCTATTGGTGAAAGAAAAGAAGGGATTATATTGGGGACATCTTTTTTTTTGCGGGGAGAGGGTATCATGTAGATTGCCTTTTCTTTCTATGAGAGATGGAGAAGGGCTCTTCAGGTATATTGATTACAATTACATAAAAATCTATAGTGGTGATAAAAAAATTATAATGTGCATATTTTATGGTAGTGATATTCAGGTATATTGATAACAATTACATAAAAATCTATAATGGTGATAAAAAATTATAATGTGCATATTTTATGGTAGTGATATTTGCATTCCTTTTTTACTTCAGGTTTGACTCAGCTTTCTAAGAATTGTTCAAAAACCAATTTGGTCAATAAGTTGATTTTTGTGTGTTTTTTTTTACATTCGTGTCAATGTAGATACTAAACTAATCTTTTCGAGTGCTATTGAGTAAATTTCCATTTTTGGTTTTATTTTTGGTTGCATGACTTTCTGTGTATAGGTCATGTCCCGGGGCGTAATTTTGTTATCAGTTAGTAAATATTCTCCTTCCAAACAGTTACCTGACCTTAAAGATGCCGAGGCTGTTCAGAAGTTCTTCCTTGAAGAAATCCAGCTGGGGGAAGAGTTACTCGCTCAAGGTAAGAGTCGCAAAACACAAGTTCAACCAAGTAAATGTGAAGATCTCCATGGCTTTACTGAGCGATTTGTGAATGGGGCAGCATCCCCTCTGGCACCTACAAGGAGGGCACTCTCTCCACGGGGTGGATCAAAATGGAAGATTTTTGTGGGAAGCAGGAAGCTATTGGTGAAAGAAAAGAAGGGATTCTATTGGGGACATCTTTTCTTTTGGGGGGAGAGGGTATCATGTAGATTGCCTTTTCTTTCTATGAGGGATGGAGAAGGGCCTATGACTCTTGACAGGAAAATTCCAGGCTGGTTCATTAAGATTATGTTTCTCAGAGACATTGGGACTGCAATTAGATCAGGTGTTAAATCTAGATTTAGTATCATGGGCTTTTAGCACAAGTGACACCTTTGTGAGAGATGGAGAAGGGCCTATGACTCGACAGGAAAATTCCAGGCTGGTTCATTAAGGTTGTTTCTCGGAGACAGTGGGACTACAATTAGATCAGGTGTTAAATCTAAGTTTAGTATCATGGGTTTTTAGCACAAGTGACACCTTTGGGGGGTTGATGTTTATTTTTCTTTAAAAGACTAGGAAACTGAGTAGAAGATGCCCTTTGTAGAAGCTTTTACATTTGTTAGGGTGTCTCGCTGCTGGTACTGGGAAGAGGGGTGACCTTATCTCTAGAAACTCTTGATCAATGCAGAAGACAGTGGTTTCCGTCTGTAACCATCTTACCCTCGTTCACTGTGCTTTTCCTGCTCACCTCCCTTGCCTGTCTCCCCCATCTCCATCGCCGTGGTCTTCTGCCGAAGAGGGTGTATAGTATGTAAGCTGGTGGCTTTGGCCCCATTGGTGAGGTTCTCCGTCTCCGGGGCTTCTCAGGTGAACAGGAGGTATGCGTGTCAGTAAGCTTGTTGGTTGTTCTCCCCTACAAACCCTACTGTGCTGCCCGTTTATGAGATTCCAGTGCCTTTCTGTGTTTAGAGACACCAATACCACTGTTGCCTACAGTGTCAGTATCAGTACAGGAGCCTGCTGTGCAGGCTGTGGAACAGGAGGTGTTGCAGGGGCTGCACCATCTAGGTGTGTGAGTGCAATCCGATGTTTGCACAGAGAGGGACTTGCGTAACCGTGTGTTTCTCAGAACTCATCCCCATCATCAGGCCGTGCGTGGCTATATTTCAAGACAAGCTTTTAGACATTTAATAACGTGAGGATTGTGTTATTGGAGACTGGCTCTAGAAATGAATGTTTCTTGTGCATTATCATTGCCCATAATATATTTTGAGTGAGTTTTAAGTCTAGGTGTGTGAGTGCAATCCGATGTTCGCACAGAGAGGGACTTGCGTAACCATGTGTTTCTCAGAACTCGTCCCCATTATCAGGCTGTGCGTGGCTATATTTCAAGACAAGCTTTTAGACATTTAATAACGTGAGGTTTGTGTTATTGGCTCTAGAAATGAATGTTTCTTGTGCATTATCATTGCCCATAATATATTTTGAGTGAGTTTTAAGTTTACTTGATATAAAGATAAGTAATCTTTTTGCCAGGCCAGTGTGGCTCAGTGGTTGGTGCGGCGAGGACTTTAGCGTTGAATTCCGGAGGAAGGCAGAGGCTTTTCGGGTTATGCGTTACTTTTCTGTCCCTCTTCCAGGGGAGTATGAGAAGGGAGTGGACCACCTGACCAACGCGATCGCGGTGTGCGGCCAGCCCCAGCAGTTACTGCAGGTGTTACAGCAAACTCTCCCGCCACCAGTGTTCCAGATGCTTCTGACTAAGCTGCCAACAATCAGTCAGGTAAGGACTTGAAATGTTGTGAAAGAAAGTAGAATTTGAGAATTAAATATGTAGGGACATGAGCATTTAAAAAGGAGCCTAGGGAAGTGTTGCAATCATGAAACTCATCCATATAATGAAAATAGTACTTCAGATAACAGGGCTTGAAATTCCCCTCCCTAATGGAAAAGCATCCAGATGACTGGCTGGGCATACGATCTAGTGATGGTGCCCTAGATGTGGGTCAGGAAGTGTGTCTCTTAGAGTTAAGTCTCAGGCCTCGTATTCAAATCCCAGAATTCAGGCCACTCTCAGCTACTTTGTAAAACTAGTTCTCTGCCTCCTCTTCTGTGAGACCCTGCCTTCGGGCAGTGGCTGGCAGAGAACAGGAGCCAAGATGGCAGAGCCTGGAAGTAGGTCATGGAGACCCTGCACCCCTCTGGCCTGGCTCCTGCCAGGTGGGCTTTGGGGTTGGAGTTATTCGACTCTCGAATAGGGCAAAATACCATGTGTGTTCACGGTGACCCATAGCTCCGGTAATGAAACTGCATTCTGCTCACTTGAGCCCTTCCCAGTGCATCTGCTCTTTGGAATGGCATGGCCATTACACGTGTTAATGTCCACATTTGGTGTGATTAAAAGTTAGTAAAATGTAATCTTCAAACTGATCTTGACTCCACTAGATTGGAAAGGGACTAAGGAAAGACAGGTTCCCAAAGAGGTAAGGGCGAGGGGGAGAAACCCAGGACTTGGTCTTAATGCCTTTTGTTTAGACGGATGTGGTTCCCAGGCTGTATCAGAATCACCTACGTTACGTCATTGGCGCTTGGAAAGCAGCGCAGTGTAGGGCTTTGGGGAAACTGACCCGAGGGTGATGCCTTGAAAATGGGTGAGTTCAGGATGAAGCCTGGATTCCTCTCGATAAAGATGACTTTTTACTCAGTTATTTGTCTCATGTCGTCTGGAAATGCTTTCAAAATGCTAATTTGAGAGCACTGTGTTTCTTCATGCAGTGATTTTGAACATTTCCAGGCCCAAAAGGGAAAGGTTTAGAGCATGGGATGGTCGGTATTCTTAGCACTAATCAGTATTTTTAGTGTACGTAGGAGTAAGAAGAGATCTCGAATGCATTTTGGTTTCAGTTATGTAATTGGCCGACATGTAGCACAATGCGATGGAGTGCCTTCTTTAGTCACTTGAATTTTGTCATGAGACTGACAGTTGTCATCATTATTAGATGCTAATAAAGCGTTGAATGTTGAAGTAAATCTCAGAATGGGTAAACTTTAGCAAGGTTTGTTTCTTTGAAGTCAAAGGGCATTTTTGCTGAACTTAGAAATCTGATTAAATGCTTATACATTGTAAGAGTTAAAATTTTGTTTTTCTTTTTTCAGAGAATTGTAAGTGCTCAGAGCTTGGCTGAGGATGATGTGGAATGAGAAACAAATGTCAACATGATCTCAATTAAAAATATTTTTAAAATCTTGACTTGGAGGATGAGCAGCTCTGGGGGAATAAGGGCAAATATGGTTGCTATGGACTGTCCTACACTGAACTCTACCAGAGTGGATTTTTACTTTGTGTAGATCCATCTGTCTTTTATTTATTTTTCCCAGTGAAGAGTGTATTTTGATAGAGAGCTTTTCATTTTATAAATACACTATGAGTTACCGAAATATCATGGATTTTGTTTATTCCTAAAACATGTAATTAAAATGGGCACATAACATCATATTAATGTACATCCAAAATATCTAGTGCTCAGTTTTGAAAGGCAAAAAAAAAGCAGGGGAAGGCTGAAGAATGCACGTTTTTTAAGCTAGAACATTGGCTGGAAATGGGATTGTGTCTATCAAAGCTGGGTATTAAAGTCTTTGAGATGATTTCTTTGCATTTAATCTCTTAACTATGTGAGATGCGCTGCTGTGCTGTATCAGCTTCCCCCACCGTGTGTATCAGTCTTGAAGTGTGTGGTTTAAGGCAGTGGCTAATGTGCTCTGGATGTTTCCCTGCTGGTCCTGCAGGTACACATGGTTGCAGGTAGCATTGGGCACTAGATCTGTGTGCAACTGACCTGCTGCTGGGCCTTCTGCTCTCCTCATGTGAAGTGAGGGGACTGGTACGCCCATTCAGAGAAGGGTCCCTCTCAGCTTCTAATTCATTTCGTTGTTCAGCATCATGAGATTCAGCCTTCTCCTGAGGAGCAGTCAAGCCTTGCACTTTTTTATTCTTTGAATTTTGCATGCTTGCCTGACTTCGTATTTCTGAAGATTTTTTTTTAAAGGTATAACGTGTTGATTTTCACTGAAATCATGTGCTTTTGTCACTACTCTTGTAAATTAATCTGAAATTTAACCTTTAAGGTACTGAGATGATATGCTTGTAAAAATGTTTCTTTGCTTTTATCTTAATGTACCTCCTTGATCCTTTAATCTGATTCATTTATCTTATGACGAGAATAAGGTGGAGCCTGTGGCTGGAGACTTGCAAAGCCTGGAGGTACTGGACCTCTTGTTTTTGAAACAGTGACATTGTCTGCGGTCACAGATCCAGTGTCAGGCCTGAGCCAGGGCCTGGCGTGTGGAACGGAGTGTGTTTCTCAGGTTGCAGGCTGCCTTCCTTCTGCCTGGACCTCTGGGGGCAGATCCCAGACCTGTTCTATGTGCACTAGGCTTTTTATCTTGTTTTACTTACAAACCTTTCTTTACCGTGAACTTGGGTTTTGTGGTAGTGGAAAGACTCTGAATATGGTTCTAATTTCTGTCTGGAGAGCTGCACAGCCTTGGGCAAGTCACATTTGCATCTCTGAACTTCCATGTTCTCATCTATGAATTTAGAACTAGGTGACTCACCTCTAATGACTTCCAGGTACCTTCCAGGTCTGTGATCCTGAACCTGTAAACAGTGGTGTGTTGTTGTTTTTTAAATTACACCCAGCATGCTTTTTGTGGGGGAGGGGTGACCAGTACAAACATGCTGGTGAGTCAGTTTTACTAATAGGACCCCTGATCCAAAGCAGGGAGTGGTGGTTGGTCAGTGATTGGAAACAGTCTTCCCTCCTGCTCCCTCCCAGACAAGCGTGTTCAGAACAGGGGCCGCCCGAGGGAAGAGAGGACTGAGCACAGGGTCAGAGGGAGCACAGGTGAGGAAAGAGCAGGGACCGACCCACAAAAACAGGACTGGCTGGAGGGCTAAGGGTAGCTTAGACATGGAAGGGTATGAGGGTAAATGTGTGTGTATATATACATACATACACACTAGAGGCCCGGTGCATGAATTCGTGCACAGGTGGGGTTCCTCAGCCTGGCCAGTGACCGCAGGAGGTTGCCTGAGGGAGTGCACTGACCACCAGGGGGCAGCTTCTGTGTTGAGTGTCTGCCCCCTGGTGGTCAGTGTGCATCATAGTGACCGGTCATAAGGGTCACTTAGGCTTTTATGCATATAGAATATATATACACACACACATATATTTCCCTGGACACATCATTGCCAAAGTTTCCTGGAACCTGGCAGCCACGTTGACGCTGGCCGAGTGGTGCTCAGCCCAGGCTTGGAACAGGGATGGCCGCTGCGTGTCCGTGTGCACGCGTGGGCGCTGGGGGGAACCGTTGGCAATGGGAATGAGTGCCCGTGGGCCTGCTGCTTTGGGCAGAGATCTATTGTTTGGTTCCACGGTTTGTACTTAAAGGGAAAGAGCATTTAAAACAGGCCTCCCTGGTGGGTGGTGGCAGTGCGGTTGTAGTGACATAACTAGGACTCCGTTCACACTTAGCCCTGAGTGCGCCTAGTGCAGTGCACACAGCAGGCAGTCTGCCTGCCCTGGCCCCGTTGAGGCAACTGTGGACCAGAGTGTGTGAATGAAATGTTACTGCGAAGAGATTCTGAGATCCTTGGTTACCCTGCAGACATGACATTTCCTTTCTTGTAACATAAATGCAGTGTTCAATTCTGAGATCCTTGGTTACCCTGCAGACATCATGACATTTCCTTTCTTGTAACATAAATGCAGTGTTCTGATTGCTTGTGGCTCACCTGTGTACGTGACGATTAAAGGGCTTGGAGAAAACGTTGGCTCGGTGCTTATTTGCAGAAGTGGATTCTGAATTGGTGACAAAGTCGTGGTACCCGAGTGTTTGTGGGTTCCAGCATCTGAGGGTGTTGGCAGCTGGGCAGGTGAGGATGTTGGTAGTGATGGCTTCCCACCCTCAGCGTGAGCCAGAGCCCCCTGGAGGCTTGTCGAGCAGCTGGCTGGGCACCAGGCTCATCCGCGCTGCTAACAGTATCCCAGGCCTTGGAGATGCTGCTGGTGTGGGCCATGATACGAATGGGACATGGATGCTCCGTGGTGACATGGAGCACGTGACAGGTGACCTTTATTAGAGAATGATGGCTGTGTCAGGTCACAGACGTGCGCTTTAGCTCTGTAACAATGGGGTTCAATGGGATGAGAAGGTCAGCTAACAGAAGCCACCGGTACTCACCCAGACCTGAAGCATAAAGACTGTCGTCCTCAGACTTCATGTCCAGGATCGCCAGTCCACTTCAGTGTACGCCAGGAGCGAGGGTTTCTCCAGAAATGGTCGTCTCCTAGGCAGGACGCCACCTGAGCAGAAATTCCACTCCGGAGCATTGTAGCTGTGAGTTTTCAAATCTGACTCCACTTTTGTGTTTTGGGGTGAATCAAATGTTTTCCCCCCCTTTTTAGGTACAAGGTTTCTAGATCACTATAATATATACAATATTTTTTTCTTCACCTTTTAAAGGCTGCAATGTGTTCTAGAAACAGCCCAGGAGGCCTCGTGGGGGCACTGAATCCTGTTCAGTGTCCACTGATACTGAGAGGTGTCACATGTTTTGATGTAATACTGACAAAGGAGCTGGGGCTCGGGGCTGGAGGGAGGACAGTGGGGGAAAGTCCGTGGTGTGTGGGCTGCATGTGCAGGGGACCGCGACCCCCTGGAGCTGGGCTGAGCTCGGGGTGGGGGAGCCCTGCCTTTGCACACAGCACTGGACAGACGGAACCCAGCGGCCTTGTCTGCTCCTGGGTCGAGGAGGCGTCTTTGAGGGTCTGCAGCCAGCACCTGCCTCCGTTTCCTCAGCAGCACACAGGCATCGTCCCCAGGGCAGTGGGCACGATCACGTGACCTCGGGAGGGTTCACACAGCACCTGCAGTTGTTCACGTCCTTCCCTGGGAGGAGGGCAGCTCTGGTCCTGGCAGAGGCTGGCTCTCCTGTCACCAGCTGTTTCGGATCCCTCCCGTAGGGCACGCAGTGGTTTCAGAAGCCTCCATGGCGGTCCTGTAGGCAGGACTCCAGCAGCAGGTACAGAGACCCACCTGGGAAAGAGAGGCTGGAGCTGGGGGGCGGGCAGCTCCGGGGTGTGTAACTGACTCCTCGTGCAGTTACAGCCGCCATGTCGCATGGCAGATGGAAGGCTCAGGCTCCCCCACCCCGGCTCTACTGAGGTACGATTTACAAATAAACCTTGTCTGTATTTAAGATGTACAATGTGATGTTTTGATGTACATATACATGAAATGATTACCACCTTCAGTCTGATTAACATGTCACCTCACAGTACCTTCTTTGTGTTTGTGGGGAGAATAAAGATTACTATACAGATTTCAAGTGTACAGTCCTTAACTGCAGTCCCCTCTGACCAGCATCTCCTGTCCTTCATCGCCCCACCCCAGCCCTGCTCATCTGCTAACACCATTCTACTCGGTTTCTCAGGTTTGATTTTTTCAGATTCAGTGTGTGAGATGCAGTATTTGCCTTTCTGTGTCTGGCTTATTCACTTAGCATGTCCCACAGGTTCGTTCATGTCAGATGTGGCCGAGTTTCCTTTTTTAAGGATGAATATTCCATCGACTGTGTATCATTTTATGTGTGACTCACCCACGAATAGGCACAGGCTGGCCCCACAGCTTGGCTCCCGTAAATGCTGCAGTGAACACAGGGCAGATACCCGAGGTAGTGATTTCGTTTCCTTTAGACAGACACCCCGAGTGGAATCGCTGGGTCACAGTAGTTCTGTTTTTAAGTTTTTGAGGAACCTCCATACTGTTTTCCATACTGGCTGACAAATTTACGTCCCCACTGAAAGTCCATGAGGGTTGCGTGGCCGGTGTGGCTCAGTGGTTAAGCATTGACCTATGAACCAGGAAGTCATGGTTCAATTCTCTGTCAGGGCACATGCCCAGGCTGTGGGCTCATTCCCCCGTGTGGGGCATGCAGGAGGCAGCTGATCAATGATTGTCTCTCATCATTGATCTCTCCCTCCCTCTCTCAAATCAATTTTAAAAGTGCATGAGGGTTCCCTTCACATCATCACCAACTTACCTTTTGACTTTGTTTGCTGTTAATTCTCACCCCTCAGCCAGCCAGGTGCCTGGGCCTGCAGGCCGGTGACTCACTTTACCCCCAGGTCCCGGGCTGCCTTCACGTGGTGGCTTCTGAGCGATGGAGGGTGGACCTGGAATGCCAGCTGCTCCTGGGGACGGAGCTCTCTCCTCCGGCTCAGCTGTCCCCTGAGAGGCTGATGCTGGCCAGGCCCGGCGTGGTCCTGTTTCTAGGAGCACAGAGTACCTGCTTTTGAACTTGAAAGGGGGGAGACCCTTAAACCTGTCAAAGCCCTGCTGGAACGACCCTCCAAAACTAAATGGAAAGGGCTAAGAGCTCATCATGACTAGATATGTTTTCTGCCTCCAGGAGTTTTGTGAGTTTACTACAAATGGACTGATTTAGCTTTACACACAGGCCTTTTATTATGCAGACTGACTGCATAAACACAGATCAAAGGTTCCCCCCCTGAGAATAGTTTAAAAACAGCAGGGAAGAATAATGAGTAATTATGAAAGAGAGCAAGTTAGCAGCTACCGCC